TGCTATTAGGCCTATAAGCTATTACAAGCTGTAGCTAAAATGAATAGCTAGGCTAAATGCTACCGTATATTAAATGCTAGGCCAATCATGCTCTTTAATGGCCTGTTCTACATCAAGATAATGCTATACCGCAACCTGGGTACCCATTATTATGTGGCGGCCGCCAGATAATTAAGTGGCGGCCGCCAGATAATTAAGTGGCGGCCGCCAGAAAATTAAGTGGCGGCCGCCAGATAATTAAGTGGCGGCCGCCAGATAATTAAGTGGCGGCCGCCAGTTAACTGATTTGAAATTTTTATTCACTGTTGACACTAACGGGCTTCCGTAATAGAGCACTCGCATAGTAACAATGAAATCGTGCCCGACGTAGGCGACGCCCTTCTTTTTAACCATGCACGTTTTCTATACTTCGTGCCCGACGTACAAGGCGCCCTTCTGTTGCTAAGTATATCCAGACACACACGGCGCCCTTCTTTTTCCACTAATGGAAGAAAACTTTATCACTAGAGTGCGTCCGGCCATACGATTTTGAGCTGTATTGTTGTTTTCTATACTGATCCATAGGCTTAAATGTGTGTTTTATTTGGATAATAGCAACGATTTCTACCTCCGCCAAGGAATTATGTATTCACCGTTGTCACTGTCTTGGTACAATGGTACTAATTGTACAATTGTGTAATTTTTTTTAAATTGAGAATTGACAATAAAATTAATACGCGACGACTTGGTAACGAAAGTCTGGTTGAAGTTTTTTTTAGATACAGTCGTAAGGGGCGTCCCATTGTTTGAATTCCCACCATGCATTTCGGTGGAACACTTTTTTTGTGTGGAGAACTCATAGAGCTATTAAACAACTGGAGTGCTGACAAGATGGTGAAGCAATGCAGAGTTATGTATGTGTACCATCCAAGATGGCCGCCGTAGGAAAGCGCCACCTTAAGGCTTAGTATACATATTATTACCATAAATAAGCCCTCTGACTGACTATTATTTCATTATTGATAATTAGTATTGATAATCACAAGTTATTAAGCTATCGTAGCCAAAAAGAGGCCAAGTAGAGCATCTTATTCAAAAATTTAAAAAAAATTAAAATCTTGTACATTACACCAAAGAGTATAAATAGAACAAGAGAGCCAACAACGCTCATTGAGAGCGTAAAAAAACGATACGCTCTACGCAGCTAGTGTAGGACGCCAACTAAGGCTTGTATGTGTTTTATTACCATAGAGCTATTAAACAACTAGAGTGCTGACAAGATGGCGGAGCAATGCAGAGTTGTTTATGTGTACCATCCAAGATGGCTGCCGTATGAAAGCGCCACCTTCAGGTTTTGTATGCATATCAAAAATCTTATAAACACAAGATAGCGTTCTCCGCGATTTACGCGTAACAAATAGAAGCGTCGGTCAAGGTTCAAAAGTTTCCAATNATTATTTCATTAATGATAATTAGTATTGATAATGACAAATTATTAAACTGTCGTAGCCAAAACGAGGCCAAGTGGAACATCTTATTCAAAAATAAAGTACCAAGGAATGAAAATTAAAATTATGTACATTACACCCAAACACCGCAACGCTCGAGTTTCAAACATAGCTGTACTAAACTTTCTGTGTAAATTGAGGGCGCCATTGAAAATGATAATGCTCAGGCGAAATTTGATTGGCTGAATATATGGCAGCCATCTTGGATGGTACACACACACAGCTCTGCGTATTTCGAACATCGAATACATTGCTGTTAGCGCTCTAGTATTCTTATTATATCTCTATGGTA